TACCATTTTTTCCGAATTTACACAACGAGTTGTGTAGATAGTGGAATAAACCCTTCTCTGCACGGCTGTCTACGTCCCCTGGCTGGACTACGGCAACGTGACGGAGATCAGACAGCACGACTACGGAGCGATGCCACGGGTGGAGGAGGCACTGGCTAGCTACCTCTCTCCCAACCTCGCCTCATCCCTCCGGACGCCGGCGCTCCCCACCAAGCCGTGTTGAATGACGTCCGATTTGGTGGGCAAGGCCTACATGGCAGCGGGTCGAGCTGGTGCTAGCCTGCACACAATGGCTGTCTTGCAGGCATACCAGGCCGATCTCCTTCGGGACTGTGACTTAGGGGGAGGTCCCTCTGAGGAGGACCTGACTGAGCTCCGTAGAGCAACGTATTTAGCTCTCCGTGTGACCAAGGAAACGGCCCGATCCATGGCGGCTTTGGTGGCTACAGAGCGCCATCTGTGGCTCAACCTCTCGGGAATCCAGAAGAAGGAGAAGGCTTTTCTCCTGGATGCGCCCCTCTCGCCTACTGGCCTGTTTGGCGAAGCAGTGGATGCTGTCGTCAACAGATTCCAGCACGCCAAAATTCAGGGAGAGGCATTTGAGCGATATCTCTCCTGCCAGTCAGGCTCCAGGACCGCGACAGCTCAGGAAAGGCGGACGCAGCCTTCGTCCAGCACCTACCACCGCAGCCAGAAGCAGAGCGTCGCTTCACGGGATCCCCCTCAACCAACCTGGGACGCAAGACGGCGCTCTCGCCCACAGCCCCCCGAGAAGACGGATCTGAGGACTGTCATTCAGTCTCGGTGGGCCCGGGGGAAGAGGTCCTGAGACTTTGAGTAGGGGGGCCAGGTGTTGGGACAGGAAGTCCGCTCTCTGCTAGGGAAAGGGGCCATAGAACTCATTTCCCTGCCAGTCAGAGAAGCCGGCTCCTAAAGCCGATACTTCCTGGTTCCCAAGAAGGACGGAGGATTGCGTCCGATTTTGGATCTGCGGTCCCTGAACCAATTTCTGAGGAGATTCAGGTTCAGGATGCTCACCATCCCCGCCATCATCAGTCACATCCAATCCGAGAATTGGTTTGTCACAATAGATCTGCAAGACGCTTATTTCCACATCTCCATCTGTCCCTCTCACAGGAAGTTCCTGAGCTTCGCCTTCGGGGGCACGAATTACCAGTATCAGGTTCTTCCATTCACCAAATGCATGGATGCAGCTCTGGCCCCGTTGAGGCTCCAGGGCATCCGCATACTGAACTACATCGAAGACTGGCTCGTCCTGGCCCAGTCTCGAGAGTTAGCGGTTCGGCATCGAGATGTCATCCTCGCCCACCTCCAGCGTTTGGGGCTACGGCTCAACGCAAAGAAGAGTGTGCTGACGACGCCCACCCAATGGACTACGTTCCAAGGGGTGGTATGGGACTCAACGACGATGCGGGCTCACCTGTCTCCCGCACGCGTCGAGTCCGTTTTGTCCACTTTGGCCATTTTGATCTGTCTCCGAACAATTATTTCAACAGACGCCTCACTCGTGGGGTGAGGTGCGATCATGGACGGCCGCGTTGCGAAAGGCTCCTGGCAGGAGCATCATTTCTCTTGGCACATAAATTGCCTGGAAATGTTGGCAGTTTTCAGAGCTCTGAGGAGTTTTCTGCCCGCTCTCCGCAGTCGCCACGTCCTTGTCAGGACCGACAACACGGCGGTGGTGGCCTATTTGAATCACCGTTGGGGTCTGCGCTAGCGCCCGTTATGCAAACTGGCACATCAGATCCTCCTGTGGTCCCAGCAGAGACTGCTGTCCCTCAGAGCGACATACGTCCCTAGGACCCAGAATCAGGGAGCAGACCTGCTGTCGAGACAGGGGCTGAGGCCCGGGGAATGGGGACTCCACCCCGAGGTGGTGGAGTTATTATGCGAAAGGTTCGGCCCCATAGACGTGGACTTGTTTGCGTCTCGGGAGACTACGCACTGTCCCCTGTGGTTCTCCCTCTCACCCCCAGCCCCGCTAGGGCTGGATGCCATGGTGCAGACATGGCCGAGGCTGCGTCTGTATGCGTTTCCCCCAGTCGCTCTGCTCCCGGGGGGTTCTGGAGCTGGTCCATCAGGACGGTGTCAGCCTACTGCTGGTAGCCCCGTTTTGGCCGCCCCGTTTTGGCCGGCCCGAGTGTGGTTCTCGGACATAATATCGCTCCTCGAGGGCCCGCCATGGCTCCCACTTGGGACCTGGCCGTGGATCTCGAAGCGCTGGCTGAGGCCCCCTTCGAACCCCTGGAGTCGGCTGAGGCCAAACACCTGACCCTTAAGATGACCTTTCTCCTCGCTATCACCTCTCTGAGGAGGGTGGGGGATCTCCAGGCACTTTCGATTTCTCCTCAATGCCTGGAGTTTGCCCCGGGGAGGGTCAGAGCCATCCTGCACCCCAGTCCAGGCTATGTCCCTAAGGTTCCGTCCAGAAGCAGAGCGTTGCTTCACGAGGATGGGAGACTTCATCTGCTCTGCCCTGTCAGAGCACTGAGTATTTACACTCTGAGGTCTTCCCGGTGGAGGAAAGCAGACCAGTTGCTGGTGTGTTTCGGGTCCCCCAAGGCTGGGCTCCCCGCTTCTAAACACACCATCAGCAACTGGATCGTTCAGACTATTTCCCTGGCCTATCAGGTGCGCGGTTAGCCTTCACCTATGGCCGTAAGGGCGCACTCTACTAAAGGCATGGCGGCCTCTAGGGCCCTCCTCGCAGGGGCGTCACTCCAGGATTTGTGTGACGCAGCTGGCTGGGCCACCCCTCACACTTTCATCCGGTTTTACAGTCTGGACCTTCCTTCTGCACTCGGCACCCGGCACCCGTGCGCTCTCCTCCTAGTCGTGCCGTCAGGTTCTGCACGCTGGGGGGCAGGTGGGGTTTCGGCGCGGCCTAAGTGGGTATCTCGTTCCCATAGTGTCGTTGCCGGCGCAGTTCGAGTTTCCTCGAAGGGGAACGTCTCGGGTTACGTATGTAACTGCGTCGGTACTGCAATACTGCATCGGTCCGCCACACCTAACCCCGCCTGGAGTGCCTTGCTTCATAGAAAGGGCTAATGTGTCCTGTGTGCCGGCGTGCTTATATACCCCTCCGGTTACGCCGTCACACACTACCGTTCTAGTAACACCAATAGGATTGGAGTAGTTTCATTCATAGTTCAGCCCTGCCACGCCCAGAGGCATTCCCATTGTGTCGTCACCGATGCAGTGTCTCGTTCCCCTTCTCGGGGAACAAGGGTTACATACATAACCCGAGATGGCAGCTTATTACAAGAAAAACTTTAGACTTTTGTATACAGTCAAGTTCACAAACACCTCTGTTCTGACTAAAGTAATCTCTGAGCCCAACATATACAGTACAGATACTGTATGTATCTTACATACTGCACAGGCTACAGTACATCCTAATTACAACATACAGTGAACATAATCTACCACAGTGCTTGAGCAAATTTCCCCACAGCGAAATGTAACTGTCTTAGAAAAATAAATACCGTCAAGGTCCTGCTCCTCACTCCCCTGGGGACAAAGCCTGTCACAACACGACTTAACACTTATCTCTTCAAAGACACTTACACAGACACCATCCTCTCACGCTATTACTGTCTCTTCCCCACAAGTTCTCTTTCCTGGAGCTTTAGATCACATAAATTCATCACTTCTATTACCCACAGCAGAGATGCTGACAGCAGGTTTAATAGCCTTAAATTGACTTCTTCCAAACATAGCATGACGTCTTTTGTACTTTACAGTACTTCTGACATAAAGTCACGCATATATACACAAATGCAATAAAAATATGGAAAATTAGATGATAAGTAGAGGTAATATCTGCAGGTCTGGATACAGAGGGCCACAAAGAAATGGCCTCTGTTAGTGATATATTATTATTATAATATGTGACATTATTCAATTGTTAATACTGACGCAACAATTTGTGAGCAGCATTTTATTGTTAAAGCTAGTGGATTGAGGTGTGTGTCAATGAATCAGAGGGGTTGTGAGATCATTCCTTTTTTGGTATTTTCATTAATGTTGTTATTTCTGTGCAATAATGGATACTTTTACTTCTGTAGGGTTCAAAAAGTTAAACAAATGAAACCATCACCATTAGAGGAGAAATGTCTCTTTGGTGGAACTGCTCACCACTCTGAAATGTGACAACCACACACTGTTTTCTTTTAAACAGGTCAAAAACAACAAACATTGTTGATACATGTTTGATATTTAATAATTAATTGTATTTGGCTAGCTTATTATATGATTTTTATGGAAAAACTTACCTTTATAGCTGTGAAATAAATGTATTAGAGTAGAAAGTACAATATTTCCCCTGAAATGTTTTGGAGTAGATCTATCATAAAATGAAAATATCCAAGTAAAAGAAAAGAACCTAAAAGTAGAGAACTTGATCAAACTCCATCACTGAGTTTCAAACATCATCATATTTAATCTCCTATTGATGTTTAGCTGTTGTGTGTGTGTGTGTGTGTGTGTGTGTGTGTGTGTGTGTGTGTGTGTGTGGTGGAGTAAAAGCATGTATTTGTTGTGTCCTCTGGCTCTTCCTGTCACTATAATCAGTAATAATCAGTATTTTAATTTCAAAAGCACCAAATAATATTTGTTTGAGTTTTATTGATATTTTTTATTTTTTTTATTTTTTTGAGTGTTGAATTGCCTCTACCAACAAACACTTCTTTGATTCTTTCATATTCCTTCAGACTTTTTTCAAGTGAAACTAAGTGGTGCCTCTCAGTCATTGCCATTACTGTCTTATGTCAGCTTCATGATGTCTTGTTTTTCTTCTTAGGTTTGGGGTTAAGGCAATAAAGAGAAGTGCATGTTTGCTAAGCATACCTGCACAGCATGTAATTAACTAAGAGGGGCTTCTTTATCTTTCTTTTTTTTTAAGTGTAAGGAGATTTCTTCAAACGCACAATTTACTGGATACGATTGGCTGTCACAGGATGTTGCAGTATATAAATGGAATCCATGTTAGAGATGAAGTAGATTACTTTGAATCCCTGCAGAGATACATCTCCAGACGGTCTCTGCACCACAAAAAAAGGTGAGGAGGAAACAATTTTTTCTCTGTTAGTAGCCTAATCCTGCTGATATTATAGGACTTGTAGCTTATTTAATAAAGGCAATGAAGAAATTAATTTTATTATATGTTCTATTATACATTTTTCTCTAGGAACAATCATGATAAAACTATTGGTGCTCATGGTGTGCCTGCTGGCCACTATTTTGGCTGCTCCTGTAAGTCCCTTCTAAACATGATTTGTTGTTTAGTCAACCAACTGAGGCTTTTTTAAAGATTTAAAACAGTGTTTAAAATCAGGAAAAAATGTATAATGTCATTGCAGCTTCCTCATCTCACTTTCTTTGTTCAGGTCCCGGGGAGTGAAAGCAATGAGGAAAAAGTAAGACTTTAGCTTTTCTTTGAGGTTTCTGTGTCTGTTTGCCCTGGCATGTCATACCATGTTTTTGTCATGTCATCAAATGTACAGTATGATAGGCGTCTGACAAAGAGAGGATAATTGGCTTAATTGCAGCACATGTCTGAAGATGTCTGGTATTTCTTCAGCAGGTTGCGGCACATGCTAATGAGGCCCTGAGGTGGATGGAGATATACAGGCTGTACCAGCAGCAGGTAGTGGGGGTTCATTGTAGTTTCAGAAAAAAATAAGAAATTAAAGAAATCTAAATCATCTGCTCATTACTTCATATAGTTTGCCATTAATCATTAATTATAATCAATCTGTATTTTTTCAGGGATTAGTTGGAAACCCATTCTTGCCTGCTGCTGTAAGTTTATGTCTTGTTAGACTCTAACATGAGTTTTAATTAGATTATGGAGTTTGTGTGTGTTATTCATGAACCATTGATTTGTTTAGGCTGGTCCAGCTGTGGCAGCAGTGGTAAGTATACTTGCAGCACTGCAGCATCTAACCCATAAAGGTTCAATATGCTGTTTAAGTTAAAAGACCTCTATTTATGCAGGTGGATGCTGCACCAGCCCAGCCAGCTCATGTCCCCCCTCTAGCTCCCGTTGCTGATGGAGATGCATCAGAGGAGACAGAGGTGAGCATCTTCATACAAAACGGAACTGAAATATTGTCTTTTCACACTTAATATAAATAAACTACAAATATAGACCTGTTTGTTGATATGTTTCTTCTTGGCAAATGGCACTTATATTCTACAGAAGGTGCCAAAAAAGCATACAGTACATTATGACTTGCCATGCATGAACAATAAAAACACCCTGTTGGATCTACACTGAGTTGATAACACATGGGTTGAGGCTACCTGTGAACAGCATTTAGGCAGCAAATTAGCATTCGGAGATTCATAAAAGGAAATGGGTGAATGTCTCCGATGTTGTGTTTCAGTTTGGAGCTCTGCCTTAAAAAAAGATCTGCAGTGCAATTTTTTCCCTGTCTCCTTCACACAGGATGGCAACCCTGCCCCTGCTGCCCCCCTAAACTCTGATGAGGTAGAGGAGGCCGAGGAGGTGGAGGCAGCAGAGGCTGAACCAGCTGTGACTGAAGCAGCACCAGCGGAGCCTGGAGTAGACCCTGCAGCAGTCGAGCCAGCTGTGGTTGACATCCCTGTAGATGCTGCACCAGTTGACGCTGCTGCTGATGTGGATGTGCCTCCTGTTGATGTGGTTCCTGTTGACGTTGCCCCTGAGGTGGCTGTTGATGCTGGTGCTGGCCCACTGGCAGCTGAGACTGACATGACTGGAGTGGTAGCGGATCCCGCTGCACTGTAGTTATCTTCCTCTTGTTTCCAGCCTAAGTACTCCTCTGTTAGCAGTTAGAATAATAGCTAGAAACATCAATGGGTGATGTAGTTGCAGCAAAAACAAATGAAAAAGCTGTGGCATATTGAATAGAGTGAAGAAAATAATCTGTTATGCTCTTTTTTCAGCAAAACAATTAAAGTATGTTCAGAATTCAGTTAACAACTGGACAATCAAATGTTTCTTTGTGTTCTTCTTTCTGTCTTTAATTGCAATTAATTAGTCAGGAGTGTGCACACAAGAAAAAAATATGTCTTTCAGGACTTTAGGGATGCACAGGTGTTACTAACATCAATGATGGCTCTGTAAATAAGTCATAACAGAGTGAGAGAATGCACAATACCAGAACCCTGAAAGTAAAGCAGCTAAATGACCATAATTTATTTTGTTATCAACACCTGTGCTTTTACTACTGTGACATGTCAAAATGTCTTCTATGAAAAGGCCTACACTATCAAATAAAGCACATGGTATCTCAAACATGCTGTAGCTGAGGACAAGCGTGCTCCCACCACCGCAAACACACAACAAAAACATACGCAGATGATAATTATAACTACATTTCTTTCTTTTTCTTTATTTCTCATGCAGATTACCATCTAATTGAGATTTGCATATTTATTACATGAATATAAAGAAAGAAAATGCTATACTATGTACTTAATTGTTTTGACTTTCAATATACAGCACAGCCACTTCAAATGACTGTACAAATTAAATCACTGTACTATGTGTAATTCAAATGCACTCTACATTAATACAGTATAGTGCTGGATATACAATATAGCTACAGTAGTACAGTAGTTAAAATTATTATTAGGCTGTAGCCTAAAACAGTATTGTGCTCTGTACAAATAGAGTAACATCAGTAGTGCACCTAGGCTTTCAAGCCACAGCCTGGTGGTGGTTTTAGTGCATTTCTACATTTATTGGCCTGAAAATAAACTGTAGTCTCTCAATGCTGAACTGGTAGCAGAGTTTGAAAACAAACATATTCAAACAAACATATTGTTTTCATGTATGAAAATACCCAACATGAACACGTTATGTCATCAGATTAATTAACTATAACTAATACTTTATGCAAATTACTTAAACTGCATTTGTACAGGAAAGATTCTCTCCCAAGTTTTTTGATCCATATAAGCACATAATAACTGTAACCATGATCACCGGTTTCCACTGGAATGCCATAATAATTTAAACTTGTTCCAAAATGATCCATCCATCCATCGTCAACCACTTGTCCTGCCTACAGGTACGCAGGGGGCTGGAGCCAATCCCAGCTGACATTGGGCAAAAGGTGGGGTACACCCTGGACAGGTTGCCAGTCCATTGCAGGGCCACTTATAGAAAAACAACCACTCACATTCACCTAAGACACCAATTAACCTAGCCTGCATGTCTTTGAATGGTGAGGGGAAGCCAGAGCACCCAGAGAGAACCCCCACGGAACCGGGGAGAATATGCAAACTCCAAACAGAAAGGCCGAGGCAACCGGGCTTCAAACCCACAACCTTGTTGCTGTGAGGCTACAGTGCTAACCACTGCACCACCGCGCCACCCCTATTCCAAAATGATTTAGTATAAAAATACATTATTTCTTACATACATTTCCAGAGATGCTCCTCAGTTCATTTAATATCTGTGAATTGTGTAGTCATAAAACTGCAAACACCACATCATCCAACAGGGAGAGCCACTGAACCACAGCATGCCTATAGCATACAGGGGAGGGTGATCTTGCTTTTGGGATGCAGAATTCAACACTGGTAAAGGTTCAGATTTCATTTCACTCTCATGATTCGTATTCACAGTAAAGGGACCGGATCCACCTGATCTGAAATCTGTAATACCCGGCACGATCTAATAGGATCAGAGCTGGATATGGCTGACAGTGCTGACTGAGCAAGAGCGGCCTCTGTGTGTGTCTGTTTGTGTGTGTGCGTGTGTGCGTGTGTGTGTGTGTGTGTGTGTGTGTCCAAGCAGACCAAATCCTCTGCTGTTCCGCAAATGGTCAAGAAAATTAGAGCCTGTCACAGATAAAAAACAAGAGGTGTCAACACAAAATGGTTTTCAGTGTTAACTGAAACTTGTCCAAACTTCAATTGAAAGTCTCTCATCTCCCACTGGAGTGGACAAATAAGGAGGATGAGAGTCTTTGGCTCTCCTCTTCTCAGCCAACTCTAATCCACAAATCCTCATCAGGGTCACTGAGACTCTATGACACAGTTAGGTAGACTCAGTGCTTATAGGTGACACTTGTCTAGCTATGTTTTGATAATATCCAAAGACAGATAGCATGTAATGATTGATACACTACATCTGCTGTTCTTAGAAACACTGCAAAAGGGTCAGAGGTAAATGGACTTCACATCGCAATAACAAGTGGTAAAGGTAAGTGAAATGAAGCTGAATGGATTATGCATTGTCACTACAATTTGGAAACCGTTTTTGTAGCATCATCTGTTTGTGTGACCAGACTGACCAGATTGAATGTCACATAATGCTGTTTTTCTCCATTCATGTGATGCAATATTGCTAACTGTGGTTTCGGGCTGCAAATGCAGTGATCACGACTTGAAATGCATTCATTTAACTTTAAATGATTTCTGCAGATGTGTCAAACAAACTATTTTACAGTATTTAAGATATATAGACCTTATTACAGTAGGTGTGATGTGGATGAAAATCTATGGTGTAAATCGCTGGACATATTTGGAGTACTAAACATACTGCATAAAATATCACCACAAAATGACAGCAGTTTTGACTTTTTGATCCCTTCAGCAAGTAGATTTTTAAAAAGTTTTTTTTTTGCAGGGTGAACTGCAGATCTGCTGCCATGACCACTTCAGCAACTCTTCCCCGCCTGACTGTGCCACCTGACACTGCCTCACAACTTGCCACAGACAGTGAAGAGCTCAGCGAGGATGAGCTGTAAGCAAAACATAACATGTAATTTACAATACATTAACGAGACATAACAAGTAAGACTTGACAGTTAATTAACTTACTATGTAACAAGCGTTGTGTTTGTTCCAGAAGTGGGCCTCAATTAAGTTGTCATCGTCTGCTCAATATGAATAACAACAATAACAGTGAAGAGTAAGTACGCTTATGGAGTCATTAAGAGATAAGTGAAGCACTTGTAGAACAGTTTCTCTTTGATGTATCTTAAAGGTCATTTCAGCAAGGCCTGTTAAATTGTTGATTCATCCTTTTCCAGGGAGAAAAAGAAAAAAAGGAAAAAGGAGAAGAAAGAGAAGAAGGAGAAGAAAGAGAAGAAAGAGTAATCATGTTACATTGTAAAACTTATACTGGATGTTTAAGATTTAAAATAATATTTGATGCTCAGTATTCTCCAATGTATTTATGCACATTATAGAAAGAAGGAAAAAGAGCAGAAGGAAAAGGAAGAAAAGGAAGCAAAGGAGAAAGAGGCAAAGGAAAAGGAGGCAAAGGAAAAAGAGGCAAAGGAAAAAGAAAAAGAAAAGAACAAAGATAAGTAAGTGAATCATTCAGAGCGACATCCTCCAGGCACTTTCAGATATATAATTTACACTTTCTTCCCTGCTTTTTTTGTAGGCCCAAAGAATTGTTTGTCATTAATCCTGCTGGGAGTTTGTATTACAACTGGCTGTTCATCATCACGCTGCCGGTCATGTACAACTGGACCATGATCATAGCCAGGTGACTTTTATAAGTCAGTGATTCTTATTCAACATCGCAATTTCCCTGCAGGTCAAATGTTCATATGATTCCATTCAGCTCCATTAAGTGTGATTCATATACTAGCCCATATAAAGCTGTTACAATTAACTTCTATTTATTCATTTCATGCTATAGTTTGTGTTAGCTGCAATCGTACATCAGGACACAGCGGTAAAGGTGCTCGACATTACTGAGTTACAAAACATACTCGTTCATGGTCTTCTTCTTCTCCTGCAAACAGGGCTTGCTTTGAGGAGCTGCAGCATAACTTCATCATTTACTGGGTTTTTCTGGACTACACATCAGACTTAATCTACCTGGCTGATATGTTTGTCAGGACCAGAACAGGTGAATGGCTGACCTAAGCATCCCAATCGCTCACATATCCACATGTACACTGAAGAAATTATCAGCAGTTGCTGTTGTTCCTCCTGTTCGTATGATTTTTTTTTTACTGTGATTTCAATGTAAGTAATCGGAATCACAATCCATATTCGTTCTTCTGTGCAAAAAAAAACATTTACAAAGCCCTGCTGAAGATAACATGAGACTTCAGCAGTCTGAGTAAGACAAATTAAGTGTGCATTTTCCAAAGATAAGTATTTTAGCACAAAATTTCATCTTTGTGTTGTTGTTCTTAAGGAAAGACTGTCTGGGGAAACACAAACGGGGGATTTTGTACTAAAACTCTGGAAGATATCCACTTCATTTGATAAATTCAGACTGGTGAAGCTTCATATTAGCTTTTGTTGAACTTCAAAATGTTTAATTATTTTTTGAACATACATCAATTACTGATTTGTTTTTCACAGTCAGTATGGACAGGAAGGATTATTACACTTACAAAGAACTGTGAGCATGTGAGAAAAGACATATTACAATGTGAGAACAATTCTTTACATACTGATCTAAATTATGAACACATGTAAATCAGTAAATCGCACGAGTAATGACACCCCTTTGAGATGCCTAAATAATCATTAATACAGCCAACTGTTCCTGAAAGCTGCCTAATAATGTGAATTTGAATAGCAATCATCTATAATCATTGTAATCAAGGGTTTATTATAGCATAATAATATAACAGGAAATCCTTTTGATTTTATTCCAACCGTCCTCTGGGACAGTTACTTACACTCATGAAGAAAAAAACTTGCACATAAATTTTCTACATCTTTGAATACAGGTTACCTTGAGCAAGGCCTGATGGTGAAAGATGAGAAGCTGCTAAGGGATCGCTACATGGCCAGCTTTCAGTTTCGTCTCGATTTTATCTCCATGGTGCCCACTGACGTCCTCTATTTATACTTCGGCCTCGACTACCCAGAGATCCGCATCAACAAGCTACTGAGAATCAGCCGCATGATGGAGTTCTTCACGAAGACGGAGACTAAAACCAACTACCCCAACATCTTCCGCATTGGAAACTTGATCATGTATATCCTCATTATCA